CCTGAGTAGCTGGGATTACAGGCACGCACCACCATGCCCAGCTAATTTTTTTGTATTTTTGGTAGAGACGGGGTTTCACCATGTTGACCAGGATGGTCTCGATCTCTTGACCTCGTGATTCACCCGCCTCGGCCTCCCAAAGTGCTGGGATTACAGGCTTGAGCCACCGTGCCCGGCCAGGTTTTGACATCTTAAGTGACCTGCTTCATGGGAGTCAGGCAGTACTTGATCAAGAATAGAATGTAGGCATCTTTACTTGCAGTTCTGTATTTCAGACAATAGGCAAAGTTCTTATTGTGAGAGATCCCTAAGCTATGAAAATCTGTCCTATTCCAAGTAGAATTAATTACTAATATTTAAAGCTAGAATGAAAGAGAGCATCTGACCCTACCTCTTCATTTTAGAGGTCACAAGACTGAGACTCACCTAAAATTCAGTGACTTACTTAAAATTCACCACAATTTTGTGACTAGTATTTTTTTTTTTTTTTTGAGACAGAGTTTTGCTCTTGTTGCCCAGACTGGAGTGCAATGATGCAATCTCAGTTCATCGCAACCTCCATCTCCCAGGTTCAAGCGATTCTCCTGCCTCAGCCTCCCAAGTAGCTAGGATTACAGGCATGTGCCACCACACCCAGCTAATTTTTTGTATTTTTAGTAGAGACAGGGCTTCTCCATGTTGGTCAGGCTCATCTCGAACTCTCGACCTCAGGTGATCCACCAGTCTCAGCCTCCCAAAGTGCTGGGATTGCAGGCATGAGGCACTGCGCCCAACCACGATTAGTCATATTTTTTAATTTTCAAAAATTTGAGATATAGCTCACATACTATAAAATTTACCTTTTTAAAGTGCACATTTCAATAGTTTTAGTATATTCACAAAATTGTACAACCATCACCACTATCTAATTTCAGAACATTATCACCACTAGCAACAGCAGTGCTGTGCCCATTAGCAGTCACTCCCTATTCCCCCTCCCTCTAGCTCCAGGCAGCCACCAGCCTACTTTCAGCCTATATGGATTTGCCTGTTATGGACATTTCACATAAATGGAATCATACAATATGTGGCCTTTTGTGTTGGCTTCTTTTACTTAGCATAATGTTTTTGAGGCATTTATATATGCTGAAGCATTTATCAGTACTTCATTTCTTTTTATGGCTAGATAATATTCCATTGTTTAGATTTGCCACTTTCTATTTATCCATTCATCAGTTAATGGACATTTGGGTCTTTTATACCTTTTCTACTTTTTAACCTTGATTAGCTATATTTCTTAAAGGTTATATATCATCTGGCTTGCAAAAGAGATATAGTAACACACATACTAATAGACACACATATATATGCATATATGTGTGTCCTGAGTCTCCTGGAAGGAGGGGGGAAGATCAGAAAACTACACTCTATAAACAATAAGTTCAAAATTACAGATTTTGAAGTAAGGTCACTACCTTACTTGCCATTCTCACAATCTTTTTTAGGAATTTCAAGTAAGGAAAATATCAAAGTAATATTTTAGCTATCTTCAGTGGTATTAAGTGATTCAGGAAATGCTGAAATACAGAGGTTGGGTTAATTTGCATTTCATAGGGTGGTTTGGTGGATGCATGCACCATACTTTAAGTCTCAGCAAAAAAAGATAAAGGGTTAACTAAGTCAGCAAGTTTTGACTTTTTTTTTTTTTTCAAACAAATATGTTGTAATGGTGGTTTCAGGTTATAAATGTGTAAAGTCACAGCTTAATCAAGTTACTGCATCTCAGTCCATATGTTAGTCTATCTTTTATGTTTCAGATACTTTCTATAATTTTTCCTGAGGCCAAAATTTACAGAATATTTAATCCAACATAAGCCAATTCTTTAACTATTTTGCACCCTTCCATGTATGATTTCCATTTGTTTTCTTCTTGAAATTGGGAGTCCAGTGTGGACATGGGGTTCCATTCTGAGCCTAGCCAGTATAGTGCATCTTATGCCTTCATCCCTCACTTGTAAAGAGATGATGCTCCATTGCTGTTGTGCCTACGGCACTCATTCTTCAAATGCTTATTGTAAATCGAAGTGCAGTGTAGTGTGAGAGCCAAGCCTGTGGACAAACCCGCCTGCATGGGGAAGCAGGACTTTCTGGAAGCAAGCAGATGGATAAAAAGGCCTTGAAGTGAAGACCAGCCTGCAAAAAGTGCAGGTGTTGGGCAACAGGGCTTCTAGCCTTGCTAATCATTTCTTTTATCCAGATAGCATTTGTTGAGTTCTCTATGTGCCAGGCCCATATCAAAGCTGTTTAGAAGATGAGTTAAGGTCAAGCCCCTATACTTTAAGAATTTACAATGGCCGGCCGCGGTGGCTCAAGCCTGTAATCCCAGCACTTTGGGATGCCGAGGCGAGTGGATCACGAGGTCAAGAGATCGAGACCATCCTGGTCAACATGGTGAAACCCTGTCTCAACTAAAAATACAAAAAATTAGCTGGGCATGGTGGTGCATGCCTGTAATCTCAGGAGGTTGAGGCAGGAGAATTGCCTGAACCCAGGAGGCGGAGGTTGTGGTGAGCCGAGATCGCGCCATTGCACTCCAGCCTGGGTAACAAGAGCGAAACTCCGTCTCAAAAAAAAAAAA